AAAAAAAAAAAATACCTCTTTAAAGTGGAAATGCAAATGGCCAATAGGTATAGGGAAAAAATGTTCAATATCACTTATAATCAGAAATGAAAATCAAAAACTACAATTAGATACCACCTTACTAGTGGGAATGGCACACAATAAAAACTAGCAACAACAAATTTGGTGAGGATGTGAAAAAGGAGCTCTCCTACACTGTTGGTGGAAATGAGGACTGATCCAATCACTACAGAAAGGTGTGTGGAGATTCCTCAGACTGTTAGGGGGAGTACTCATCTTTGAGAACTCATGCCAATCGACAATAAAAACAAAAGCAACTATAAGCAATTGGGACTATATAAAATTTCATCTCTTCTTGCCTAACATTCATACAGCTCTTACTGCATTCACCAGTCTCCAAAAGAACCCTTTTTAGAGAGACTACAATATCTTAACACTTCAATATTTAGAATACTACTACCTGTTAGTATTTAGAATACTAATTCAATATTTAGAATTTACAATACTAAATTCTATATCAACTTATAGTTTCTATTTTTTGTGTGTGAAGATTTGTAATTTTTTCAAATGTCTTTTCAGCATTTATTACTGTAACAAGATTTTCCTCCAACAAATTGTTAATATAATGAAATATGCTTAGATTTCTTAACATTGCAACAGTTTTCTTTCCTAGATTAAAATCTCTTGAATTATTCTTTTGACAGGGTATTGGATTCTCCATTGAACACATATTCATAAGCTATTTGAAGTTTGGTTGCGTTTTATATATACTATCTGTCTGGTTACAGTAAGTCTGATTTCAATGACGTGTTAGAGAACTTCTGTTTTTATTTTTTACTGTAAAATTAAAAATATCTACTTAGCCCTCATTCTGTAAATACTGAAAAGGATTTAACGGACCTAGCTGTGGAAATGTCAAATCTCCAAGCTGTTTTTTATAGTAGACATTTATCCTCCAATTTTTCTATGATAGTTTCTTCATGTTTTCTAGTTGTAGGGTCAGTTTCATTAAGAAACTCTTGAATTTAGTTAGTAATTTATAATATTCTGCATGTCTCTCTTTTAAATGAGGGCCAAGGGGGGATTGCCTGTCTTGTTGGTGTTTTCACTGATAAGTGTCTTCAAGCAGCCAGTTTTTAAATTTACTTATGCAATGGGGGGGGTCTATTTTATTAATTTCAGTCGTTATCTTTGTTGTTTCCTTTACTACCGTTTTGTTTCTAGTTAAGAAATCATTACAACATGACTACACAAAGGATAAAAATATAGAACCAGTCTGGTACCTACTCATTCACTTACATCTGTTTCAACATCTGTGTATCTGTACTTTGCTGACAATGAGTATATAAAATAGCTAAACAAGAAAAATCGCCGCCCTTCCAAAGCTAATAACCGACTTTTAGGGCAAATGACAGGGAACCTGAGCCAGTAAAAGACACTGCGAATCAAAGAGAAATGTATTCTTTTTTTTAATGTACACTATATACTCTTATCTCAAAACTGCTGCAGCATCTAATATTCTATTCTATTCCGTCGCCCCTTCCTCCGCCCACTATAAAAATTGTTTAAATGACTGCCAAATCCCTTAAACGCACAGAGGGGTTCTAAGAGTCGGCGTCTAAGGCAAACAATCACCCATCAACTGAACTACCTTGACCGGTTTTGCGAGTGCACAAGTCTCCAAAATTCACACCACATTCCATGGTGGGAAAAGAGTTTCCCTGAGGCGTCTAGGATGCCTGCTGCGGAGGTCAGGTCGGACAGCCCCGCGAGGGGCTGTTTAGCTGACACTAGGAGCAAACCAACATTTGTGTAAACTGAGGGGGCCCCAAAGAACCAGGGATTGAAAACCGGCGGGGAAAGACAACTCACGGGAAACACTCGACTAGGAGCACGTCACACGCGTGCGCAGTGGCCACTGGCGAGTCAGCTCTGTCAGCCTTCGCCCCGCCTCTCAAACAGGAAGGTGTTGCCGGCATTTCCGGCGCCGGTGGTACCGGCATCTGCCCTAGTGATGTCGTGGGTACGAGCCGCCCCGGTAGCCGGGGCTCCTGGTGAGGAGGGTGATGTGTTTGACGAGGAAGCGGACGAGTCGCTTTTGGTGCAGCGGGAGTGGCGGAGCCAAATGCAGAGACGTGTCAAAGTAAAGCGGAAGGGAGCGTTGGGGGGGCAGGGGGAGGTGGAGAGAGGGGTCCCCTGACTTGACGGAAAATGTGGAGGGGCGCCGGTTTGTGAAGAAGTTAGGTCCCGACCACCCGTTGCCACCCTGTACAACTCGCGTCCTGATAAGGATTTCCCAGTTACTTGAAAGCCTGTGAAACGGCGGCGTGCGTCCTCGGGAATGGGGGGCGGGGGGCGGGTAGAACCTGGAAACCAACCAAAATAAACTTTGTGTAGACTTTGAAAAGATTTCGATTTGGTGAGGATCACAAGGAAGGGCTTGGAGGGTAAACTTACACGCTCACTGTACACATGTCTAAGTACTGGTACAGGTACACTTTGGTTGTTTTGCTGGATGAGGAGCCTAAAGTGAGATGTGGTATTAGTCAACACTTAAAGGAAAAGCGAACTTGAAAATGTCAAAAGGCAATAAAGGAAAGCCAATGCAGAATGCTGGTGGGTGTTAGTTGATTTCTTTTGTATTCGCTAGGTGTGACTCTTCCATCTCTAATTTCAGAGGGCCGCAGTAATCGAAACTAGGCTTAATAGTACACTCCCAGGTTCTTCTGCATCCAGAGAAGCACTCGCAGAGTTTAGGTCAGCGTGAGAAACAAATAACGAAGTTGATTTCCGCTTAAATATCCTAGCTAACCATTCAGTTGCCCCTAAATCTGATGTTGACACTTTAAGAACTGGAATCTTTTTGAGTGAGCATCTTGAGAGCTGTAGCACCAAAGAAGATGCAGAATAAAATCCCTTCCCACTGTTTGCAGTTTAGTTGAATGTGGGTATCAAACGAAACGTCTAAGATCAGACTTTTCTGATCTTACGCCAGTTTACTCTTCCCCTGCTTGTTAGTTAGCCAAGACCTTTCCTAGCCCTATTTACCACCCTAGCACCTCACTCACACAATTAGTTAGTTGCCGGCAGGTCAGAATGTGATGTTCCATGTTTTCTTTCTTAGAATCCACTGTTATCACGGTTAAAAAAAAAAAGTTACGAGTAGTATTTTTAAATGTGCCAAATGTATATAACGCAATGTTGGGTAAGTTTAAATAAAATAACATCTCAAGAATAAAAGTTTTAGCAAGTCAGTTTTTAATGTGTTAAATAAGTATTGTTTCCAAAATAGAATAAACCAATAATATATTTATGAAAAGTATGGTCCACTTTGGTTGTATGATTATTATAGCCAATGTTACAGAACCATGATGTTAAATATTATATATATATATATATATATACATACAGTAAAATGGCTTCATCTGCTGTTTACATTGATTCTATAACTTTCTAGAAGAGCCACCATGGTTCATTTGGTATTAATTATACCTGTAGCTTCTTATTTTTTGTTTTTAGGAAGGTTATAGAGATGGAGTAGATGCTGGCAAAGCAGTTACTCTTCAGCAAGGCTTCAATCAAGGTTTTAAGGAAGGTGCAAAAGTCATTATAAACTATGGACAACTCAGGGGAACTCTGAGGTAATTTTTAAAACAAATGCTGAATAATTTTAACTGCTAATACTTGAGAATATTTATTTTTAAAAAGTAGTATGTAAAAATAGTGTTTAAATTAGTGCTTTTTCTAGCATCAATTCCACAAGAGCTGCAAAATATAGAATATTACCTTCAAAAGTCAAAAATCATCAATTTGTACACCTTAGTAAGTGGGGAGGTCTCTTTTATTACAAAGAAGTGATGGGAACGTGTGTCTTTCTATCATCAATCTCTATCTTAAAAGTAATTACAAAGATCTTCAGGAATAAAACTTAGTTTTAAGAAAACAACATGGCAGACATCTAGGCAAAAAAAACGTGGACAATTATAGCTGGCAGTAGAGAGAAAAATGACTACATTTACTTTAGTCCTGAATGTTAGATACCTGTCAAGATTGCATAGCAATAGCAGCATTTATCAGAACCAAGTGGCCAAATACCACATGACACTAGAAGCATGTTTGCATGCTTTAAACTGCCCTCTATATAGAAAAAGCCCTCTAAACTGCCTTCTATATAGAAAAAGCAAAATGCTTCTAAAAATCACTGGTTCTAAAAGGATAGGAAACAAATAATTATGAAAAAATAAATTCATTGTTATTTTAGAAAATTCAGTGTCAGCAATCTGAATTTATATATAGCCTGCTATAAAAGGAAATGATGAAGTAAATGTCCATCATCACACTATTAAGTCTAATTGCTAATCTGTTCAAAGCTAGTGTCCAGTGTGTGTATGTTTGTGTATATATGTATATGTATATTTTTTTTAAGATTTATTTATGCAGAACTGGGGTACAGGCCAGAGGTACAGGGTCAGTGAGAGAATTCACCAGAGATAGAGTGGGAAGCAGAACAGGCAGATCAACCAAGTACCCTGCTGAGGGGAGCAATGGGCAGGTCAGGAAAGGTTTGCAGCGCTATGTAGATCACCTCCGTGGCTGGGATTGAATTAATGTTGAAGTGGCTTTAGCTTCTTAGTACTGTTTTAACCCATTGCACCACGAGGGAGAGCCTGTATGTATTTTCTAAGTCCTGTTTTGCCATTATCACTTTCCTGATTTTCACTTGCATTATTTTTATTAATCTACATTTGGGGGCTGTTACTTGGAAGAGAAACAAAATGATTAGCATCAAAAATTCTAGAAGTTTATGACTTAAGTTTTTCCATTTAACTCTTATTTATCTCTTATTTATATCTTTATCCAGTGCTTTGCTTTCCTGGTGTCACCTTCATGATAATAGTTCGGCTTTGATCAGTAAAATAAATAGTCTTCTGGATGCAGTTGGCCAGTGTGAAGAATATGTACTCAAACATCTGAAATCAATCACTCCACAACCCCATGTGATAGAGTTATTGGACTCCATTCAAGATATGGACCTTTGTCATGTAGTTCCAGCTGAGAAAAAGATTGATGAAGCTAAAGATGAAAGACTCTGTGAAAATAATGCTGAGTTTAACAAAAACTGTAGAAGGAATCTTAGTGAGGTAGATTGTTCATCTTTAGAATGTTGTAGAACACAGGAGTCTGTACATTCTGAAAACCCAAGCCTCACTTGGATTTTAGAGCAGACAGACAATTTAGTAAAACAACTGGGTCTATCATTAGAGGTATTACAGCATCTCAAACAGCTATAAAAAGTATCTTCAAATGAAAATAATATTCAGAACATTTCTTAGATCATCTTATTTTTCAACACCTAACCAAAATTTGTACTTCTTTCTACACTGAGCATTTCACTTACAGGATAAGCCTTTGTGGAATTGACATGTCTTCAGTATTAACACTATTAAATGTAATATAACTTTGTTACTGAAGTTTTTTATGTAGTTTAAGATACACTCAACATCTTTGTTTTCATTTTCATTATGACAATGTATCACTGTCATTTTCAAATTTATGATCAACACTAGTTTTTTTTTCAGACTCATTATAGCAAAGTGAACAAGAATCAAACATGTTTTATAAGTACTTATCCCTACCTTCTGCTCCTGTTGCATCACCATTGTGTCAGACCAAAGTTAGTAAAATATGGCTAACACTGTAGATAGATACACATGGCCATATCCAGATGCATAGAAATGTTGAAATTAAAAGACAATAAGTGTAAGAAACTGAAGAAATGTTAAATAGAATATGAGAAAGTGACAATAGTTTCCCATTGATTAAAAGAGCGTACTGTTCCATGAAAAATACAGAAAATATATTTCATGCTCCAGTGCCTACTGACATTTTCCAAGTACTATGGAATTAGTACTGTTGATCTAATGAGGTGCCAGGTTACTTCTAAACTGCAGTTTTGTTTATATTTATACAAGAATAAAGCACTCAAATGATTGATTTCTGTGTTACCTTTTAATGATGTTCTTAGTCTAGCTTAGACAAGACTACTTTTACTCCAGGATATAAACATTTCAAGGCCCAGAAAGGATCTTTTTTTAATCACTCTTTTTGCCTGGAACAAATTTATGTGAGGTGCTTGACTTCAGAGACACCCAAATAATTGCTATTCGTTGACAACCTTAAATGCTTCATCACCTGTATTAAGACCTACCTCCTCTGCTAAAACAGGCATAGTGAGATGAAAGAATCTTGATAAAATGAGTTTATAAAGAATATTTTCTTAATATACAATTGTGATCCAAGTTCACAGAACATTAAAAATTAAAGTGACAAATCTGAAATTGGAAGAGCAAATAGTGTTTCCGAATTTATTAAAAAGTGATAACAGGTGACATTTGACTTTAGAGTAAAAGAAGTGCCCACTTTTATTTCTAGATATAAAAACTATTTTAGGCCCTCCCTGGTGGCGCAGCGGGTTAAAGCACTGCACTAAGAAACTAAGCCACTTCCGCATGAGTTCGATTCCCGCCTGCCGCGGAGGTGACCACATGGCGCGGCGGACCTCTCCTGACCCGCTTGCTGCTCCCCTCAGCAGTGTACTTCGTAGATCTGCCTGTTCTGCTTCCCGCTCTGTCTCTGGTGAATCCTCTCACCCTCTGCATCTCTGGCCTGTACCCCAGTTCTGTACGAATAGATGAATCTTTAAAAAAAAAAAAAAAAAAAAACTATTTTAGAGACTTACTAACTCTTCAACAAACTATCAGATTTTTTTTTCATACATATGGATGCAGCAAAAATCTCCTCCACATGGAACATTATAAGCAATTTCCAAAGTCTTGATGCTGTTCTCTGCCCTGCATATTAGATAAATACCCATCTCTGTTGATAACATCTCAAAAGTCAAAATTTCAAGAGTGCCTGTGGTAAATCTTGAAACATCAGCTGGTCTTATCCCAACCACATTCCTTGAAGATAAGACCTCTTGCAAACATTGGTAAAATGGTGGTTTTGTTTTCATAGAAATAGCAGTTAAGAACTAGCTGAGTTAATAACACCATTGAAATCATCTCCTAAATTTTCATTACCTGTTGAAAATATGAGCAAAAGTCCCTGGACTGCACAGAAATTTTAATGGTAAGTTAATTACACCTGTGTTCCATGACCATGAGAATTTGCAAGAGTGAGGGAAAGAAACCTTGCCAACCTTGTGTCTTCTACCTTACCTCATGTTGTAAGCCCTCTAATCCTTTCCATGAAGAGATCCTAGGAAAATATAATTGTGAGGTAAGAGTGTGCCTGAGTGAACATACCAAGTTTCAAGACCCAGCACCCAAACATTAAAACTGGGTGATGTGACCTCATTAAGAAAAGAATTGTCACCTTGGGAAATCACACATAACTGCTTTTCTTACCTCTCAGTAGCAGAGGCCACCAAAATACGGTACACAGGAAGTAGGGAGCTAAATTTACCTATTTTTTCAGATTTATTTATGCATACAAGAACTGGGGTGTAAGCCAGAGATACAGGGGAAGGGGTGGTTAGAGGATTCACCAGAGACAGAGTGGGAAGCAGAACTGGCAGGTCTACTTAAATACACTGCTGAGGGGAGCAGTGGATGTGTCAGGAAAGGTCTGATATGCCTTGTGGGTCACCTCCCTGGCCAGGGATGGAACTTGTGTTGCATTGGCTGTGGATAGCTTCATAGTGCTGTGCTTTAACCCCCTTGTGCCACCAGGGAAGACCCCTTACCTGTGTTCTTAAATCAGTTATATCCTTAGCACTGTTACTAACTGCTTTGATGGTAAGCCAAAAATATAAAAGCTTTGAAAATAATCTTTGTGATTCTTACCCACCTTCAAGCTAAAGTTAAATTTCTGAGTTTTCAGTCTATGATTACATAGAGTTAACATACATATTGGAAGAGGAAGTGACACAAGCTATGCAACGGCTATCGT